GCCGCGGCTTCTCACTTCGCCGGAGCGCGGGCTGCGGGCGGCGCGGGGGAGGCGGCTGGGGAAGAGCAGCCGGCAGCCGGCCCGCGGTCACTCGGAGGCCAGGCGGCGGGCGGAGGACGCACCATGCCCTCCTTCGACGAGGCGCTGCAGAGGGCCGGCGAGTTCGGGCGCTTTCAGCGGCGCGTGTTCCTGCTGCTGTGCCTGACGGGCGTCACCTTCGCCTTCCTCTTCGTCAGCGTGGTCTTTCTGGGCACCTGGCCCGAGCACTATTGGTGCCGCGGGCCGAGCGCAGAGGCGCTGGCCGAGCGCTGCGGCTGGAGCCCCGAGGAGGAGTGGAACCGCACGGCGCCCGCGCCCCTCGGCCCCGCGCCCCGCGCGCTCCCCGGCGACGGCCGCTGCCAGCGCTACCTCCTGGAGGCGGCCAACGCCAGCGCCGGCGCGGAAGCGCTCAGCTGCGCCGACCCGCTCGCCGCGTTCCCCAACCGCTCGGCGCCCCTCGTGCCCTGCCGCGGCGGCTGGCGCTATGTCCAGGCCCACTCCACCATCGTCACTGAGGTAAGGTGCGCCGGCACGAGCTTCTGTCCTGGCTCTCCCGGCGGACTCCGCGACTGCGAGCGGCTGGCCACCCGGGAAGGTCCGTGGGACGCCCCCCGGCTGGCTTCCCTGGGGGACCTACCAGGTTCACAGCGACATTCGGAAGCGCGTTCCAACTATCGGGAGAGACCTTTCGTCTACTTTTCCCGTGCCCGAGAGCTAACCAGGAGATGCTTTTGTTTCAGGTGTGAATGAAAACTTTCATAGGAGCCAAGTTATAGCTGTTTCTTGCACACCTGCCTAGCACAGCACCCAGAAAGATGCGCTTTATCTTTGAGATGTGTTGACGCATTGATTGGAGTCGATGAGTCTAGACTCTGAACTTCTATTCTGGGGCAAGCGATTTCCGCAGGTCTGGACGGCCTGTGGTCGAGGGGCAAATCACCTTTGAAGATCAGAGTTCTTTTCTGTTGCCCAAATGATTATCCAGAATGCCAAGGGATAAAGGTCGGGGCTCTCCCGGGACAGGGTTGGTAAAGCTGCTGTGGGGCAAAGAGCAGCATCCGAAAGAAGTTAGGAAAGCTGAGGCTTTGAATCAGAGTTTATTGGTTTTCCCTGTAACATATTATGAAAAGACAGCAAGGGGGCGGGGGACTGGTGGAGGTGCGGGGGTGGGATGGAGGCGGTCCCTGTATTTGGTTAGGAGTGTTTGTTGCTCAGCACCTTTGGAGGTCCGGTGGTCTTTTGGTTTCAGGGCTCCATTCCTGCACCCTGCTGGGTGAAGAGTGTGCCTCTGTATGGATTTGCACTTGATCAGTATTTCATTGATTTTTCTACAGTCATAGGCCAATTAAATTTGTCCAAAACTGATTGAATGGGCTTAGGTAAATGGAGGAAAGAAAACCGTACTTTGGGTCCTTATCTTCTTTTTTGTCATAAGTACTTAAATGATGGGGAAATCCTGCCTTAGGAGGTAGAAGTTCCTTTCTGATGCTGCTAGAGGTGACCTTTAGTGTGATCCCCTCCTGTGTCTGGAGCTGGCACGTAGCTCACTGAGGGTGTAAGGATTCTAATTGCTAACACTATGAATAGCCCCTTCTTAGTGCTCTAGGGATAAAATCCATGGCACCCGGGTGGATAATGCATGTATTTCTGCGTGTTTGGGATCATTTAATTACTTCATCCACAGGTAGGCTGGGGTCCTTTAAGCTGGAGTGGGTCTCCTGTTAGGAAGCGTTGGGGCAAGGACACTGTCAGAGGTGCTTCCCAGAGTGTACTGTTGGGGGGCTTCTTCCTCTCCATTCAACAGGACTGCTTAGAGCTTATGTTCCAAAAGAACTAGTAAGACATTTGCAAATGAACAACCACGAAAAAGCAAAACACACACCCACTCGAGTGTAGTTTTTGTGAGTGATGCCTTGGGAAGCAAAGAAGGGAGATATAAAAATCTGTAAGCCAGTGCCATAAGAGATTCTTCAACATTCTTGGGCACCATGGTCACTGGCATTCTGGGGTTCTATGAAGGTATCTTTTGAAGGTCAGGGCTTCTGAAGTGTAGAATGGTAGAAATTCGTGGGTCCTGATGTATTCTCCAGGTACCTGTATGGCCTAGGTAAGCCATGTCACCTCTCTGGGGTTAGGTTTCTCTTTTATAAATGTAAGCATTGCATTAAGCCTTTCACATATCTTAAGAGCTCTCACCGTCACTAGCTGATTATAGCTCAGTGTGCTAAAGTGGTGTTCAGAATATACTCTATAAGGCCACGGAACATATTTTTGAATTATATTGAAGAGATTTATTTTTTAAAATCCCAAATAGTTTTGTGCTTCTTTTGGCTTGTCTGTCATGTTTTGACTCAGAAGGAAACTCCCTGTCTGTTCAGGAAGCTCAGCTATCCGAAATAACGCATTCCTTCTCAAGGTTGAGTGTGGCTAGTATACTGGTGTCTTCAGTTTTGAATATGAAACAGTTTGTTTTTATTCTTTGCGATTCTGTCAGAAAGGTGAAAGAAACTAGGTGTGGAGACTTACACCTGCAATCCTAGCACTCAGGAAGCTGAGGCAGGAGGATTGCTGTGTATTTGAGACCAGCCTGGGCTACATAGAGAGTTGAAGGCCAGCCTGCACTGTACAATGAG